AAAATGGGATGGGTTCTTTCAATTTATAAGATAAAATATGATGTAAGTTATAATTCTAAAATAATTAAATTAGATGAGTTATAATTATATTTTATAGTGTGTTAACTGAAATTGAATGGAGGAAACAAATAGTCAATTGAAAGGTTATATAATTTAAGTTACAATTTAATAGTAAAGTGTGTATTTCAAGTATGAATTAAAGTATATGACTAAATGTGTTAGATATTTGGTTTAATTAAAAATAAATATTATAATTAAAAAATAAATGCTAAAAGGACCAATAAGGAGAGAGTGAAACCTTAAAAATTCCCAAGAAATAATTTTATTTTTAATCTATTTTTATATTCCTCTTAATTTAAGTTATATTTCTACGTTTAATTATATTTTTTCATCCTTGTAGTATATATAATAGATAGAAAATTGAATATCAAATTGTTTTTTAGATAGGAAATCAAGTATAAAATTCAAAGTTAAAACAAATTATAATGTTCTTTGTATTATTACATGTTGAATCACAACCTAAATATAAGGATCATTATTCTTAAAAGAATGTCTTACAAATTGGTTTGATAATTATATAACAAAAAGTTTATTTTGTTAAAAAGTTACATACTTTTAAAAATAAATTAAATATACATGAATATGTGAGAAAGAAACAAACATCCAAAGTAAAAGAATGAAGATGGTTTCTTTAGCTTGATTATCTTATGGTGCGATAGTCGGAAATTAATATTTTTGAATCTCATCAATAAAATAATTTCTTATAACTATAAAATATTATTATACATATGTATTACATTTAAAAATATAAAGAAAACAATGAAGAAATGAAAAATACATATAAACAAAAAATAAATAAAATTGAAAACAAAAATTTAAACCAAATATTTAATCAAACTCTTACAATGATATCTTAATTGAGTTTTCATCCCATGCAAGAACATTAAAAAATAAAACAAATAAAATATTGAGGGTATCAGATATGGTGGAGGACGATGTAAGAATGACTATTTATAGGATAAGAAATGATGTAAGTTACATTTTTAAAAGTCATAATTATAACTTATAGTGTGTTTAATGGAATTTCAATAAAGAAAATCAATAGTCTTTGAAATTTTATATAATTTTCAGTTACATTTTAGTAGTAAAGTGTGGATTTCAAGTATGAACTTATATGAATGTGTTAGATATTTGGTTTAATTAAAAATAAATATTATAATTAAAAATAAATGCTAAATGGACCAATAAGGAGAGAGTGAAACCTTAAAAATTCCCAAAGAATAATTTTATTTTTTAAACTTTTTCTATATTCCTCTTAATTTAAGTTATATCTCTAGGTTTAATTATTTTTAATCCTTTTAGTATATATAATAGATATAAAATTGAACATCAAATTGTTTTTTAGATAGGAAATCAAGTATAAAATCAAAGTTAACAAAAATTATAATGTTCTTTATATTATTAAATGTTGAATCAAAACTTAAATATAAGGATCATTATTCTTAAAATAATGTCTTACAAATTGGTTTGATAATTATATAACAAAAATTTATTTTGTTAAAAATTACGTACTTTTGAAATTAAAATAAATATACATGAAATATGTGAGAAACAAACAAACATCCAAAGTAAAAGAATGAAGATAGTTTCTTTAGCTTGATTTTCTTATTGTGCAATGGTCGGAAATCAATTTTTTTGAATCCCATCGATAAAATAATTTTCTTATAAACATAAAATATTATTATACATTTATATTACATTTAAAATTATAAAGAAAACAATGAAGAAATGAAAAATACATATAAACAAAAAATAAATAAAATTGAAAACAAAAGTTTAAACCAAATATTTAATCAAACTCTTACAATGACATCTTAATTGAGTTTTCACCTCATGCAAGAACTTTTTTAAAAAAACAAAGAAAATAATGAAGATATGAGATATGGTAGAGGAGGATGTGAGAATGACTATTTATAGGATAAGAAGTGATGTAAGTTAC